ATAACAATTATTTTGTTATTATAAAAGAAACAATTCGGGAAAGGGATAATTTAAGGAAAATTGTTTTGCAACAATTTTATTTTATATTTCAATTATTATATTCCAATTATATTCATTTAATTATTTATTTAATTATTGCATTTTTTAAATTATTACGGTTTTTACTTATTGATAAGTAATTAATTTTCTTTCTCTTTAGCACAGAGATGATTTTACGCGTTTCCAATTGTCATCTTTATATATAAGAGAATTATAGCTAATTATATTTTTTATGATCTATTAATCATTTTAGTTTTATATATTTGGGGATATACGCTCGCGATTTCGCGCCGGAGAAAGTAACGCTCGTCTCGTAACCTTCGCGACTTTTCCCTCCTACGCTCGTTTTACTCCCATTTTCCCGATCGTGCGACGTGCGTAACTAATCATCCACCGTAGGTGAAACGGAAGAGAGAGACGCGCGGGAGCAGCGGCTTTCGGAGTCGATCGGTATCGCGACACGATTTTTCTCTACCTGTGCAAATGAGCGTTAATTGAGAGCTTTTCCTCGGCTTTATCGCGTTCACACTTAATCTCTGCTAGCTCTATTTATTTATTTCTTTTTTATACCAAGAATTTTTATTAAGAACCCGGTCTACTCTAGCAATATGAAAAATTGATAATTTTCAGGCAATTTTTTTTTTTTTAAGAATATTAGAGATTGATCTTTTTGACGTTTTTACACATATTTTTATTCATGTTTAAACAGTACGTCAATATTTTAAAATCTTGGATATTTAGTATTTTTTCGTGTTTTTTAGCGTGTTTAAAAATGCATAGTTTAACAGTGCGACAGTTGCTCTTCTTTTGTAATCGTTTGAAATAAATAAACTCGGTCTAATTTTATTTTGTAGGATATTTACGGGATACAGAATCTAATTTCATTAGAGAAAATTGAAAAATAATAAAGTGGTATTATTTTAAAATTAGATATTTTTAATTTTGCTGAAATTTATTTATTTCTTGAAGGTCAGAAAAATATTAATTATTAATTTTTTAAATTCTATTTAGATTCTTATCGCTATTCTATTCGAAATCTTATAAATCCGTCAATTTTGCAAATTTTTCAATAAAATTTAAGACATTCTTCAGCCATCATATTTACAGAAAATGTAAAAAATCGGTTTTTTGACCCTCCCAAAATAGACCGGGCTTTTAATTTTCAGCATCACTGGATATCTTTATTAACCGTCATTCATTATTATCAGACTCTCTTGGAATAATCTATAATCAGAATCTTGTAATAATTAAGCAATTAAGATATTGCTTAATGCATATAATAATTGCCGCTAATCGTTCGAGACTTTCTCGACATTTTTCCGGTGTTTTTCAATGAAGGAAAAAGGGAGACTTATATCCGGAAATGAAATGCTCGAGGCAACAGGAATGTGTCAAAT